GGGAAAGACAAAAGTTACCTTTGACCATTGCAAATTGCCTAGCCCATGTGGCCTCCTTATCTGGCAGAGCCACGAACCTTCTGAATACTGTTTAAAATCTATGTAATATTCATAAAGTTCTGGGCATTCAAGCCATGGTACCTCTTAACCCCTGAAATCACTGAAGTAGGAACTACATGGAAAGTAGAACTAAAGCCTGTCTGCTGCATTTATTCCTGCTGCATTAGGAAATAGTAATGGCTATCAATACAAGCATCCATTAAGATTCACTTGTCGGAGTAAAGTCGTGCATGTTCACTGATGGGAGGTGCGTAGGTGCTGAGGTTGGAGGCAACTCAAATGTACACGGACCGTTTCCAAGTCAGATGCTAGTTTGTAAATAGTGTGGTTTGTTTCCATCACCGTTAAAGTAAAGGACCTGTTAGTACTACTCATGATAAGGACTGCTTCTTGAACCTAAAGGTGTTGATTAACTTGGAGACTATGCAACAAAATTTGCTCAGAATTTTTCATGGGCTGTGTAAGTCATGCATGTATATGTTAACTACAAAGACATGCTAATCAGGTTATAAAATATGCAGGAATACTAAGAATATAGTTCTGCTATTCCCAGCAGAAGATGGCAGAGGCAATGGCCAGAGCAAGGGACTGCTTCAATGGGGTCATCAGTCCCGTTGTTGCCCTGGTTCTGCTCAGCATCATTAACATTCCAGGGTCCAAGGTTTCAATTTGCCAAAAACAAAGCTAGAGTACAGTTTATCAATAAAGTCTTCTGAACCATGCTTTGCCAAATGCCTAAAATAGTTTTACAGTCACGGTGTTGGTGTGTCTCAATGAAGGGAGAATAAAATGCCATTCTGAATGCATGACACAAATACAAGTAAGTTCGACAGAGTCAAGAATTAGTAGGCCAATGATTTTCTGGATGACAGATGGGTGAAATAGTCAGAAAATATGTTAAATGTTGACAGTAAAAAGCAACCCCAGATGAGTTACAGCAAAAAAAAAAAAGGCACCAATTTTGCTTTTCTGGGCTATGCAATAGAACATCCATGTTAAGACAACTTAAAGAATGTTTAACTTACTTACCCAAAATAAACATTTGCTTTCTAATCCTTTTAAATGCACACAAGTGGATTTAATAAACAGTAAGCTACTTTTGTATCAAATACTTTCTTAACATTTTAAACAAATGTCATTAAAATGCAAAGTTACCTGTTACATTCAATTTGAAGAGAACTGATGACCCAACCATCAACAGGGAAATTCACAGGACAGTCTCATAACTAAGAAAAATTCGTATTTTTTTTCTTTCGTAAATTTCAAGATCCCCCTTTTAAGTATAAAAAGACAAAAATATTCTAAAATACACATTATTTTCCAAATGATGAGGATAACGAGCTTTGGGGATATTGCCTTTAATATTTAGAATTTCACTTGCAAAGCCTCCTGAGTCCCACTAATAAGCTATAATGGGTCAGAGATATCTTTCTTTCAGGTGAAAAGCAAAGGTGACTCCTCATTACTGCTGTCAGTAAATGCGTCTGTCTCCCTCGAGCCTTCAAAGATGCTCTTTTGGTGCAGACAGCTTATTGCTTGGAGTCTCTTCCCCCAGAGTGTTCCAACTTGCTGGTTCTTGGGGACTGAGCAACAGAAGCTCTGCTCTCACCCCTGACTAAGCAGCTGGAGCCCTTTCGCATCTGCAGAATCTTTCCTGATTTATTCCCTGGGTTGAACTCTATGAGGTCTCCTTAGAATCAACACAAGACTAACCCAAGGCAGTGGACTGAAGATTGGGGACATTTTTTTTTCTCTTTCTGGAGTTTATACACGTTTAAAGTGGCACTTAGGACAAAGCCAAAATTAGCAAGTGAAATAATTTTATCATAGAAAACAATCGCCATGCCAACAGCTACCTTCTGGCCTCCTATGAGGATTAAAGAAGCTAAGCATTGTGAAAATGATTGGACCCTGAGAGCAGGGACTGCCACTCCACAAGGGCAGAAATAGCCACTGCTTACTCAGTGGCTGTGCCAATCGCCTAGAACAGAGCCAGACACGTGATGGACCCCAAGCTTTGCTGAATGGATGAGTTATATGGTGTAGTTAATAGTTACATAACCAAAATAACGAAGGGAAAATACAAACAGTGAAACAGATCATCGATTTTAGATAGGGTGATCTATATAAAGCAACTGTGGTCATTTCTGACCAGTTCATTGAGAGCAGTCAACAAATTAAGGTCGACAAAAATAAGTGTAGTCAATGTGTTAAAATTATTTAAATCACATTTTATGATTCTTCTCCCAGGTCAATAAAGAAAGACTCAGAACTTATGCAAAAGGGTTTCAGATGTGAGTCGATGGTAACATGCTTGCTTACCATGCATAAGGCCCCAATTCAATCACCACTAACCAAAACCAAAACAAACTAATACCTCACTGGTTATTTCCTAAAGAGATCAATTGTTATCTTTGGGGGAGGGGGGAAACAGTTCTTCCAAGAACGCTACAGAATGTCAGTCACAGGCTGCCGATGTACCTTAGTACAGCATTTGCTTGCACAGCATGTATGAGACTGTGAGGTCAGCCTACCGGTTGTGGGAGTGACATCGGCCACTCCCCCTCACCTGATCCCCAGATGATCCTTAAAACCACTGTCACTTTATAGCTTCACAAGTGCTAGATGAAGGAGTTCCCGCCTTTACTAAGAGAGGGCAGCATCATTTAAAACGAAGGCAGTGTTCAGAAAACTGCATTCTCTCCTAAATTCTACACATAAATGAGTGTAGACCCAGTTTTAAGCAGCATATTTTTGGTCACGGATTTACAGGGGTTTTCTCTCCCTCTCTTTACTTTTCTAGCTTGAAAATGTAGATGCTTCCTTCACAAAAATGCATTTTGAAACAAAGGGTTGCTTGTTCATATTAAAATTAACCTAGGGGAAAAAATGGACTCCTCAATGAGGATTGAAGTAATCATTTGGTAAAACGTAAACTATAGTAGAATATTTCAAATTATGCTCTCTTAATTACTTTTTTAAAAAACTCACCTTTTTTTTTGCATTTGGACATTTGAGTAAGTATACCAAAATGAATATGTTCTTGTAAAATAAATAATGTTGGAAACCCCTTCTCCATTAATCACAGTATTTGGAGTGAAATGGGTTTGTGTACAAAATTATTTTGTGGGTTACTGAGCTACCCATGCTAATTTGCACTTAGTTTAACCACTGAGAAGTCAACAAAGGTTACAGCTACGTGATTTTGCACGCCTGAAACTCAGTCACCAGCCATTTCAGAACTCTTTAAAAATAACTTCCATGAACACAATTCTAAACGTGCAAATCACCAAATCATCTTGAAAAAAAAATGTTACTTGTGTGACATTATTTACTTATTTTTGGACACATGAACCTGTCTCTCACATTCCTAATCTGTAATATTTCAAAAATAGCTGCGTTCACGTCTCCTAGCACACAAATGTTCCCAAGGCTCATAGACCCTCCCTTAAGTTGAGCTTGCTCCTCTCCCAGGGCGCAAGCGGCTTTCCCAGCACTTAGGTTCTACACTCCGTGGACGAGACCGGTGTTAATAATTTCATTTGTTCCGTTCTGTTAGTGGCCATTTCAAGTGAAAGACCAGGACAGGTTCTAAACACGCTAAATTCTATAAAGCCATTAGCAATAAATTTGATCTGGCAGTTTGCTGGGACAATAGAAACTGTTGAAAGGCGTGTTAGTCACTCCGGACGAACCCACCGGAATTAAAAGAATGAGTTAAGATCATCTAAGGATGCAGTAAATAATAATAATAATAATAATCATCATCATCATCATCATCATCATCATCATCATCATCCAGTTGGATCGCAGTTTTCCAGTCCCTTGGAGACTTTGTTAAGGTCTGGCTTCAGCTTTATGTACCTCGTATTTAACTCAGCTGCCGGCAGCCTTCCATCCAATCCCACTAGTTAGGTTTTATTCGGTAAAAATAAAAATAAATACATACTTATATATAATTAATATAAATAAAATATATTCAAATATAAAAATTATCAATAAACTCAAAGTGCCCTTCTTTCAGTAAATTCCTATTTATAGGTGAACTTCCTACTTGAGCTGCCTTTCAACCATTTATCAGCTAGCTCAGAATGATGCACGCCTCGGCATTGATCTTTCCACCTCAAGAGATCCAAACTGTGAAAGTGAACAGAAGTCCAAAGTTCGTGCAACTCTTTTCAAACCATCGACCCCCAGCAAGGCAAGCGGCAAGATTTCCTGTCCCTAAGCCCCGCCGCACCGCACCGTTCTGCCAACAACTTTTCGGAGATGCAGTGCTGACCTTGGGGACCAGAGCCAGGCAGCTAGAAATGCCAAACCCGGAGTATCCCCGCTGAGATCAAACTGCCCTGGTAGCCCAGCCACCTGTTGAAGAAGGAGGTTTGGAATGACAAGGGCTGGATGGGGTGGAGAGAAAAGATACCAGAACTGGTGTCCCCTTCCTAACTCCACAAGTGGCATCTGCACCCCCAGCTCAGCCCGCTGCAGCGGGCCACCCGGGTAGCACTCATCCGGAGCTGGGCGAGGCTCACCAACCAAGATTGGGCTTTTGGCTCAGGGTCCAGCGGCAGGGCTCACCTGGGGCTGAGGTTCCCATAGAGCTGAGGCTCCCCTGGAACCAAGGCTCCCCCTTCCCCGGGCTAAGGATCCCTTGGACTGAGGCTCCCCTAGACTGAAGTTCCTCTGGGCCGAGGCTTCCCTGGGCTGAAGTTTCCCTGGGCTCAGGCTCCTCTGGATTGAGGCTCCTGTGGGTCGAGGCTCCCCTTGGCTGAGGTCCCCCTGGGGTCTAGGCTCGCCTAGGTCAAGGTTCCCTTGGGACCAGGGCTCCCCAGGGCTAATGCTCTCCTGGACTGAGGCTTGCTCGCCTGGGTCGAGGCTCCCCAGGGCTGAGATACCCCTGGACTGAGGCTCTCCTGGGCTCTGCCTTGACCAAAGCTCACCTGGAGTTGAGGGTTGGAAGGCACTGTCTCGGTCCCCTGGAACCCGGCCGGGCATCTGGAAGGCCCAGCGTGCACCGTAGGGCCCGGCTGGGCACAGCTTGAGCGGCACTGGGCTGGCAGGCAGCGGTCGCAGCTGGGGACACTCGGGACCCGGCGCGGGGCGCGGGGGCGGGGGTGCGTGCGTGGGTCCGGCCCCTGCGCGCAGCAAGTTCTCAATCAGGAAACTCTTGCCCAGGCTGCCGAAGCCCGGCGCTGGGAGGCCGAGGAGTGCCGAGGACGCCACCACATCCCAGTAGGCTCCGGCCTGGGCTGCCACGGCGCTGGGCAGCATGGTGCGCGCCCGCTGCCCGGGAGCCGCGGGGAGCGAGTGCGCGGGGACTGGGACTGGGAAGGGATCGGGAAGGCGAGGTGCGTCCCTGGCCCTCGGCGGCGCCTCTGGCAGAGTCCCGGAGCAGTCTGCAGATCAGGACAGGGTTTTCACACCACCACGGAAGGTGTGTCCGGCCCATCCATTCATGTCATCCTGCCCACAAAGTGACAGATGCGGCCAACAATGGGGGCAATGAGAGTCCGGGCTCCAGCGAGGGGAGGGGACTCTTGCTGAGGAGGTGGGCGTGGAGGGGACGGGAAAGGGGCGCTGCCACTCTGCCTGCCAAGCCTTGACCCTGGTACTGGAGCCCTGGGCTCTCTGGTATTGGTTATCATGAACTTCTAGGGGGTACGAACTGGGTCGCTGAAGCGCGGTTGTCATCAGGGAGAGTGGAAAATGTTGACATTTGGGTGTCTCTGTTATAAGGAGAAAGGAAATAGCTTTTCTTGGATATTTTGCAAAATTCGTTTCCAATGATTTCATGTCAGGCTCTCTTTTTTAGTAAGATACGTTTTAAGGATTCTGGAGAGAGGTGGCTACACTTACAGTCTAGAAGAGATGATGTAATCAGTTTTGATTCAAAGCAGAGCCTGGGGCTGAAGAGATGGTTTTCAATGCTGACTGCTCCAACAGAGGTCCTGAGTTCAGTTCTCAGCGTTCCATGTAACTCCAGCTCCAGGGCATTGGATGCTCTCTTAGGGCCTCCACCAGCCCCTACACACAAGGGCACATATGCACAAAAGGACATCTAAATAAAGTATTTAAAAAAAAAAAAAGATCTTATTCTGTAACCATTGCCGGGGGATACTTCTCTAAAGAGAGAGATAGAGACAAAAATACTACATTATTTAGAATTACACTGCTTTTTTTTTTTTTTTTGCCTGAAAACTCAAGTATTTTTAGTTAACTGTTTGTGGAGACTGGACCAGATGGAGTGTGTGTGTGTGTGTGTGTGTGTGTGTGTGTGTGTGTGAGAGAGAGAGAGAGAGAGAGAGAGAGAGAGAGAGAGAGAGAGAGAGAGAGAGATTTTAACTACAAGACTTCAAAAGCCTCTGACTTTGGAAACTGTCAATGGAGTGTTAAAACTGTGACTCCAATTAACACTTACTCTCTTTCCCTAATTTAGATGCATTTATTTAGGATAAGACTTTATTAGAGTTTCTGCAGAGTTTGCACTCACGTGTCTGGTTTTATTTCTTGCCCTAAAAATAATTTGGGCTTGGTTTCAATTTACTTAAAAGCCCGCCTTGAGTTGCCAGGTTAGGAAGTTAATTTTCCTTTTAAGATTTCATGTCTTGGGAGCTGTCAAGATGGTTTGATGGGTAAAAAGGCACTTGCCATCAAGAATGATAACCTAAGTTTGATCTCCAGAATCCACATGGTGGGAGAGAACTGACTTCCAAACATTGTCCTCCGAGTTCTACAGAACTGTCATGGAATACACACACACACACACACACACACACACACACACACACACACCACAAGCACTCGTTTCTTGCTGTTGTTTCATCTTTTGGTGAGTTGGTTACTTTATGCTTTACTGACACCAAATATGAACAATACTTTCTAAAAATCCCTCCTCAAAGATCCCCCTCAATAGCCAAATTCATAAAGCTGTCATTGCTTTCTAATATAGTAGACAGTTTTATCACAGTGGTCATGGGAGCAAAATTATGTGCAAGGCTGAGGTAGATCACCAGTATAATTCACTTATTGATTTTATTTATTTATTTATTTATTTTTTGGTTTTTCGAGACAGGGTTTCTCTGTGTAGCTTTGCGCCTTTCCTGGAACTCACTCTGTAGTCCAGGCTGGCCTCGAACTCACAGAGATCCTCCTGCCTCTGCCTCCCGAGTGCTGGGATTAAAGGCGTGCGCCACCACTGCCCGGCCACTTATTGATTTTAGTTAACAGGCCTTCACTGAACATTTAATATGTTTTGAACATGGTGGTGGTCCTAGGAATATGTAGAAAAGCTCTAGTCCTCGCCCCATAGGAGCTCTCAGCAAAGCAATGTACGAGGAAGGACTTCACTGAGGGAATATGAGAGCTAGAACCTTCTGTAAGTCTCCCCAGAACTGAGTCTCCAAAGACTACAGTAGTATTTGAAAGGGAACATATGGAGTTGTGACTATTGAGATGAGGGATGGAATAGAAATTAGATGGTCACTGCCGTCCCTTCACGGTCTCTTCCATCTCCTCTTGGTATTTGCAGGCAAGCTTGGTAGCCAACACTTTACCCATGTTAGCTCATTTACATCTTCACACTACCACGGGGTTGGTGCTGCTGTTTATCCCAGTGTTGCTGATGTAGCACAGAGACATAATTATCCTGGGGCTAAGCTAAATCCCAAGTGACGATTCCACAGCTTCACTCTCAACCATTGAGTTGGATCACCTCCCTCTTCAGGAACCTAGGCACCACACTGAGTTGTCACCTGACCATTTCTTTGTGCAGGTGAGGATGAGAAGCAGGCCTTCCTTTTCCTTTCGTGGATAATAACAAGGAAGATCTGAGTCCAGACTGACGGTTGCATCAGCCAACATACCACTGTTGGAGAAATCTAGATACAAAATGACAAGGAATGTCATAAAACTGGTGACGAGAACAAAGAAATAGAAGGGACCAATGGTGCAAACGTTCAGTCTATGACCGGATGATGACAGAGCTCTGACGCAGGGCCAGTTGCCCACTCCCCAAAGGACATTTGGTAGTTTCTGGAGATTTGGGGGACTTCCAGAACTGTCTACTGGCATAAAGAGGTGAGGGATTCTGCTAAGCCTCCTACAACATTCAACCTAACTCCCACAGCAAAGAGTGGTCTGCTCTGACACCCGCCAGTGCCACAGCCAAGAAAGCCTGATTATGGAGGACAAAGAGATCGACAAGGTTGCTTCTGCTTCTTGTGTTTGAGGGTTCAGAAACAACTCTCTTGGGAGCATGGGGATTTGTAGGATGGGGATCGGGTTTTAGATGGGGGAGGTGATCAAAAATGTGGAGAGAGGGCTCTGGTGTTTGTGAGGACTTCTGGGGTGAATACAGGGTGAGAAGAGAAATGTATACAGAAGAAAATATGGGGGAATGCCAACATTTAAAGAGACAGAAAACCAAACAGCAGCTGTGAGCAAGCCTGAAAAGCAGCAAGGACTTGAAGACAGAAATTGCTATAGTAGAAACAATGAGGCCACGAGAACTCTGTCTTTTTGTTTGTTGGTTGGTTGGTTTTGTTTTGTTTTGTTTTCGAGACAGGGTTTCTCTGTATAGCTTTGCACCTTTCCTGGAACTCACTCTGTAGCCCAGGCTGCCCTCCAACTCACAGAGATCCGCCTGGCTCTGCCTCCCACGTGCTGGGATTAAAGGCGTGCACCACCACTGCCCAGCTAGAACTCTGTCTTTATGAATACATGAGTACTTATTATGGAAAGACTAGAGGCTTCACGTTCTCTCTATATATCCCTCACCCTCTCTTTGCCTTTGCCTTTCTGCCTCCGTAACCTCCAGCACTCTGAGAACTATGTCTTTTCTTTACAAATTACCCAGTGTGTTGTACTGTTGTAAAGTCTAATGGACTAAGACAGAAATGAAGAGACAATGATGTCACTGAAGATGTTTCAACAAAGAAGGATGGGAGGCCTTGGCAAAGAAGGACTGTATGCTTAATACTTTCCTTTATCAAAAACTCAGCCAGAAAACAATGCGTCTATCTCCCTTGCAGGCTGGGTCATGGCTGATGAAAGCCAGGTGGAAATGATTCATTTTCCTGCCCTCTTGTCCTTGTATAACAATCCACATGCTCTTTACTCACTTTTGGATGTAGAGGTCCAGCTGAGGACCACGAGTCCCTAGGGAATGGTGATGCCAAAGGTGGAATTAGCCTGAGACCCTCCATGTCCACCGAAGACCAATGAACAACTGTACCTGTGGGTCAGGACCGTTGTGAAGAATGACTGAGAGTACCACTGTCAAGACTTAGTGATCACTTTCCAAAGTGTATCTTTGACTACTCTAATTCATACCCCAACCCTACAAATGCCCCTCGGACCACAAGGAGCAGCTTAATCCTTAGAGACTTAAGCAAGAACTTTTTTCAAGAGGAAGAAAGTGTTTTGTTGAGGGTTAACAGAAGGGAGGAAAGTGCTAGGGAAGAGGAAATGGGAGGAAATCTAAAGGGACTATGGGATTAACTTCTTCCGGGGAGAACCACCAAAAGACCAAAAACATGCTTCCATCCAAGCTCAGCTGGATGAACCGATGAGTTTGCATAGGGTCACTTTCAGGGGCACAGGTTAGGAGTTACTTATAGAAGCATGGGCTGTTGAAGACAAGTCTGTTTTCTTGCCAACAACTGCAAACTACGTGTGTATTCTCAGGAAGAGTGGGGCTTCATGCTACTTGTGAGGCCCTCAGTAGGACCACCTCATGAGACCTGCATGTCTTGCTTTGTGAGTCCATGGGCCATATGTCCCCTCCATGAGGGAATGGGAGAAGGTCCAGTCTTGTGAGGCCCTTGTGTGTGTAATCACAGCTGCTGATCTCAGGATGGTAGTGGCCACGCGGGGACCCAACACAGCGATCCACCACTTGTGGAGTAGAAAAAAGAGATATGTATCTATGATTGGGGAAAAAAGAGGTCATTCTGAAGTGAACTGAAGTAGAGCAGAGATGGAGTTTGATAGAATAAGGCCCTTGTCCTTAAAGGCTGAGAGAGAGCAGCATCCACAGTTCAGGTGGGACGATTTAAATCGGGGGAGAAGGAATCACATTGTACTCGCATGAGAGAAAATGGGGAAGCATAGATGGATTCCAGGGTGTTTGTTTGTGGCCTGTGGCTACTATCTCCTTGGTAAAGGAGCTGTGGAGAGGACAGAGCATGTGCTAAGAGCTGTGTGTGAAAACCACCTGTTCCTGGTGCTCCCTCTGTGTAGTGGGTCTGTTTCCTTTACAGTCCAAACTAATGGGGCTTCCTTTTGCTCTGCACCAGACACTCTCCTCGGTTCTGTTTCTGGGCCCAGTCACAGTATCTGTTTTCCTAACCAGATGAGAAGCGACTCTTGAAAAAGCACTTAAGAGCATCTCCTTCCTCTCTTAAGTTCCCTGTGCTTTCTTGAGAAGAAACCTGGTAGGAGATGAGAGAAAAGCTGGATCATCTCAAGACCCCAACCGATGACAGTCGCATGAGTCAGCACAGCCTAGAGCAAAAGATCTA